CACACACACACACACACACACACACACACACACACACACACACACACACACACACTCACGGACATGTCTACACACAAAGTGCAGACTGAGAACTCTGTGCTTCCTGATGACTGCAGCCAGAATCAACAGACATTTTTCCCTTCAGGTCAGAGTGACTCTCCTCCTCCTCCGACAGCCCGCTCGGCTCCACAGCAGAACCGCCGGCGTCTCCTCTGTCCTCTGCCGTCGGAGTCGGCGGGCGGCTGTTGGGACCGGAGGACAGGTTGGTCAGCTCCGTCTCGTCGTGAGAGTATCGACCCGAGTCGCCGGTTTCGTGGCTGCCCTCGCTGCTGGACGATCCCTCGCCGTCTCCGGGACTTTGAAGCAGGTCCTGCAGCGGGATGAGCTGGTTTGGAGACGCCGACAGCTCTTGTTCGTAGGTCAACACCGTGGTTCCTGGTTGGTAGGAAATCGTGCCGTGCTCAAAATCCTACAGCACAGAGGAAGATGGTCTGTCAAACCGTTCCTGTTTCAGTTTTTCAACTCAATGCTTATTACCTTACCTGCACAATCTCACTGTCCTTTTTCACATCACATCTAAAGACAGACCATTTCTGTTTCTTCTTCTCTGTTGTAGGCTGAATGGGGCCCAGAGAATTGATGATGAGGTTTGTTCCACCCTGTGAGGAAAAAAAACTTCTCTTAATGAGGTTTTAACATTCAAACATCCTGATTGTGGACTACTCTAAAAAAAGTAAAAAAATATTTTAGGGTCATCAACACTCCAGACATTATATTACTCATATGTTGCTCCATATCTGACTTATTGTGTAGAGGTATGGGGTAACACATATAAAACCAACATTAAACCTCTGTTTGTGATACAAAAGAAAGCTACGAGAATTCTTTATAAAGTGAATGCTAGGGAACATACAAACACATTTTTTATTCAATCATATATCTTGAAACTACAGGACTTAGTTAATTTAAAAATTATATTAGTTATGTTTAAAGCAAGAAAGAAAGACATCATTGCCAATTAATTTACAAAAGTTTTTTGTCTTAAGTTCAAATGACAGAAATAATAATAATAATAATAATAACAGAAGGATTTCAAAAGTAAAACTGTGCGTACTACTTTAAAGCAAATGTGTATGTCGGTTTATGGAGTAAAATAATGTAATAGTTTGGATGATGATTTAAAAAATGTTCTACTTTAAATCAAATCAAAATACTTCATAAGGAAAAAATGATTAAGTCTTATACACTTTTGAGTTAGCAATTAGGAGAATAGCATATTGTTTTCAATTTATATTCTTGATTTAATGTATGTGGCCATGAAAAAATATTTAATTGTAATTATTGAGAAAGGAGCAGGTTTATACAAGGTTTTTCTTCTTCCTGCTCCTTTTTCACTCATGTATAGTAAGTGTTATAATAAAAATATGTTGTGTATGTTAATGCTAATGATGAAATTTTTGAAATGAGTGAATAAACTTATTGATTTCTACTCCAGTATGTAGTTTTTGGTTAGTTTTATCTACCTTGGCATCAATGAAATGCCTCTGACTCATCATCGGCATGGTCATCTCAGTGTTCTGGGCTTGTTCCTCAGATCCTTGATGAATCGAAGCTGCAGCGGACGTTCTCATCTCTTCTCTATAGCTTTTAACAGCTGAAAGTTTCCTGAAGGGATACAAACAGAACTCGAGTCATGGAAGAAAATTAGGATAACGGAGGAAAGTAATTATTGTTCTTACAGTAAGTACCTGTTTTTGCCTCTGCAGACAATGATGAAAGCGCAGATGATGATGCAGATGAGTGCGATGCAGACTCCCACAGTGATACCCGTCATTGACGTCTGGTCCAGTTGGTAGAAACCATCAGAAAAGCCTGTGAGGGATTCCACAGACACACCGTATGAGAGCCCAGTTTCACAACTAAAGATACTGTTATAAATCACGTGGATCTTGATACCATGACGTTGATTTCGACCTGTAGCGTGTGTGGAAGTGTGAGAGAGCCCGACATTTTTACTAGAGGAGAGATCTGATCGGACCGTCAGCTCCACCGTGTCGGAAAACGGTCCATCGCCCATGTTGTTGGATGCAGAAACTTTCACCACATAAACCTGACCGGGGCTCAGGTTCTCCAACAGCGCCATGGTGATGCTCCCTGTGGTGACATTTAACGCTACATTAATAAACTGTTAAATACAAAAAAATCTTCCTCATTTAGGTTTTCAGAATCAGTTTTATTGCCATTGTCAATGAACAGGATTCACAGACTAGGAATTTGCTTTGGTGTAAAGGTGCAATAAGTACAAAATACAACAAATAAAGAAAATAAAGAAAATATGTATTACGTATTTTTCATTTATTTTTGTATTATGTATTTTTGATTTATACTTACACTGTACAAATGCCAAAGTATGCTTATTGTTCTCTGTATTCATTTAGTTCCCCAGAGTGTTTATACTTATTTCTCCCTTGTGTGCTCTAATTTTTTTTCTTCATATTTTATCTCTAATGCTTACTTGAACAGTTGCTGCTGTAATAATTGCAATTTCCCCCCGGGTATCAATAAAGTATTCTGATTCTGATTACTATTAAAGTTTATGAAGATAACTGAACTTTTACATAAAGAGATCGATTAGTTTATTACTTCAGTGAATCAGAAAAGAAAAATGTAAAAAGAGTCAAACAAAAGGATCTAAAAAAGGCTGTGGGTGAGGGGATCAATGGATACCACCCAGTCTCTCCATCACTGGGGTCCCTGCAGGGACTTCATGGAGTCCGGTCTGAGGAAAGTGGGGGCTGGGCTGGAGGGGCTTTGTGAACGGCGTCACTTTTGACCTTTTTGCCAGTASCAGAGTGGGGTTTGTGTCTTTGTGAGTTTCCTGGGGTCATCACTCACTAGAGACCATAAATTCTTTATATTACTAAACTTTGATACTTTGCTTTAAAAATCTAAGTGTTTTAATACGATTTTCTAAAATAATAACATAAATGGACCAAACAATTCACTCAACTCTAACCCATACATGATCATTATTAAATCAGGTAGAAACAAAGCTGCATTAAAACTAGGATAAATTCATGTATAAATGCACAAAAAGCATCTCTTGTTGTTATATTAAGCATCTTAACTGGTGTAAGACAAAAGCAGAGAGCTTGAAAAATGAGTGAAAATTCTGAGCTCACAAGATGGTAAAATTAGAAACAGGAAGGATAAGTGATGAAGATGCTGAACGTCCTCTTTCAGTTCACAACAACACAGCCTGTAAACATCCGTCCATTCTCCTTCCTACCGTCTCTTTGCAGCACTTTCCATTTCCCAGCAATCCAGGCGTTTCTAGATGCATACAGGATCGTGTAGCGCGTTACAGCAACGTTCGGTTCATCCGGGAGTTTCCACGAAACAAGTGCAGTGTCCGCCTCGATCAGAGTCACCTTGATGTTGGACGGAGGTCTGGTTGGGGCTGGCATGTGAACAATAAAAGGATGAAGTAAACAAATCAGATATGTATGCTCACGTTTGTTAAAAATGTCAATTTTATGCTTACCTTCAGGGAAGGTAGTCTGATAAACCACAGGGCTCCATGGGCTGGAGAGCTGGTCAGTGTGGAGGCGAACAGCAAATTCATATTTAGTGTTGGGCTCCAGATCTTGCACAAAGAGGCTCTGCTTGCTCCTGTAGAGCAAACACAGGACACAAAACCAGTTAACTTCAAGCTTATAAGGAGATAAACTCTATAAACTTCAAACCAAAACACCAAGGAACGTTTATTGACTTTAATGTGGTCACTTCTAGTTCATTTGAGGTGAGTCAGCCTTTTAAAAAACGTCCAGCAGGTGGCAATGTGGAGCTCTGCTGATGGTGCTGGACATACAACTCAGTGAAACTAATGTGGAAAGTTCAAGCTATTCAGTGTGAATATATTCAGAAATCTGATCAGAAATCCATTTTACTGCTAATTACATAACATGATGCCACAATCTGCATATGTCTGACAGTAAACAACAATCCAGTCTTCTTTAAAACCATCAATAAACAATAGAGCAATAAACAGAATCATTCAGAAATCAATACCGGTTCCTCCTGTTTACTACATATCTCATCCTATCATAACAAACATTTGAGYCATGGCAAGTGTAAAAGGCCAAAATATGTGAGAGTTGTTGAGAAAAAGAAAAGAAGCTCTGAAGACAGCTCGTGTTTTAAGGAAACTCTTACGTCTGCAGGTAGAGCACTAGCGAAGCGTTCTGCAGGCCGACAGGGTTGCATCGAACGGTGTAGTTGACCACATTGCTGGAGGTGAAGGCCGGTCGGCCCCACTGTAGAAACATGGTGCTGGAGCTGTTGGTCTGGGCCTGCACGTTGTTTGGCGGAGGTGGAGGCGGCACCAGGCGATCTCGGACAGCTGAGAGGTGAAGCACATTTGGGTTTATGCTCCACTTCACTCTAAACGAAGTGCGATAGAAAACAAAACAAAAAAAAACACCAAACCTCTAGAATAATGTTGCACTTACAGACACATCCGGGGGTGCTAATGGTCTGGTCTGCTTGGTACCCTTCTCCAACAATATTATAAGCCAGAAGCTTGACATGGTACTTCTTTCTTGGGTCTAAAATCAGAAAAAAGAAAAAAAATCAGATTGGATTTATGGCACTGACTTCTAAAGCCAATATACGGCAGGGTAACGTTTGAAAGAGAGTTAAACCGGGTGGGTTTGGGGTCAGGCTGGTCCGATGGTGTGGTGGGAACAAGAGGTGAGGCAGTGTGACAGATGCCTGCTGATGTGAATCCTTTGGTCAGTTTCAGCAGCAGAACAGAGGAGCTCCACTATCAATCACCCTGTCACCCTGGGTCTTTTGACTGCAAACAACAAAGCCCTTTCTCCGGCCCTGGTCAGGCCTGCTGGTCAGCGGCCATTTCTGCTTGGGTCCTGAATCCAAGGGTCAAGCTGAGAGGCCAAATCCCCTGGGAGGGATAGTGCAGACGGTTGCAGGCCCCTGACCCTAAAGACCCTCTCCTCAACAATAGTCCTTTGACCAACTGACCCGTTTATTTTTTTTTTTTTTTTGCATTAAAAACAATAATCAGGCCTGAATTTGAAAGTGTATTTTTGCCTAAAAGGGTAAAATTGAGCTGAATGTTTATGCATTTTCTATCAGTTCAAAAGTTTAAAAAATTTAAAGGTGGTGCCACCTTCCTTTTTTTTATTTAAATTTTTTTATGGGACAAACACGTTAAACATTTTTAACCACATCTTCTTGCAGGCAATACAGGGATTATTAAAACAGTCTGTGTGTTCAGCAGAAAACAAACACCTCTGTTGATGGAAGGGTGTGAGAAGAAAGGAAGACCACAGGAGATGAATTAGTCTTTGTGGAGGTTGCAAAGTTTAGGAGGGGTGGAGCTAAGCTGCTCGAGCCCCGAGGAGTTTCATTGGAGCCACACCAGGGCCAGCAGGTCAGGCTGAGATAAAACTGAAAGAATCCAGGATGGCGGGTGTGAAATATGAGATGAGGATCTGTTTTTGTTGTTCACAAATTATACACCTTGGTAGTTAACCGCAACACTGATTAAAAACTAGACTAGAAATTATATAAAGGTTTATCAGTGAATTGATCTTTCAGWTGATGGTCCTTTTAGGGAGATTCAAAACTCAATTAGTAGCATCATCTGAAACATTAATCTATTTTTGCTCCTAAAACAAGTAGATGAAGACTGACAGACTTGAATGTCTTTTTTGTTATTTAGAGTTTAATTATTTTAAAGTTTGTTAAGGTCCGGTGTCCAGTTCTAAAGAGGACTGGGCATCTCCCCAGCCCCACAGTACAATGGGCCTGCCGTAATTATGCGCAAGAGGAGCTCTGAGAGGGGGGAAGCTGTGACATCTGGGCCACGACCTTTGACATGGAATCTGGGCAAGCTAAATCCTGCAAAAGGAGGGGTTACACATCTCGCTTTTCGGGGAGGCGGGGGATGGTCCGGCACAGGAAGTGAGTRGAAAAACAGGGCAACATCAGGAGTCAGAATAAAATATTGTTTAAAAAGGGAGGGAGTTACAGTGTCCTGGAAACTCAACAGGTTTGTTCATCAGACACAGAGGATGCTCAACATTATGTGATRTGATAAAAACCCTGTTCACAGGTGAAGGATCTCCTGGAAACGTTGGTTTTCAGAAKTTCATCATAACTGCAGTTTAGACGAGAAACACTGAATCAGCTGTRGTTTTCATGCCAGGACTCTAGCTTTTTCTTCACCTTACAGAAACTTTTAACACTTTCAGAATGTGAGAGATGCATTCTAGATTAAAAAAAGTTTGACGTCTGAGAATATGATCGCTGTTGTTTATATGAACGGACCAAAAACGCGACAGAAATTAACCAGTTTCACATAAAAACAGCTTCACATAAACAGACTCAAAGAAGGTAGTGAAGACATTTGTCTTCTGGTTTGTGTCATTTTATGCCTTGGTTTTCCTAGTGTTACGGTGTTTCCCCTGTGTTCTCTCATTTATGCCCCGCCCACGCCCACCTGCTTCCCTTTGAGTTCCCCCAGGTGTTTCTTGTTTGTAATCATGAGTTTGCCTTTATATTCTGTGTCCTGTGTTCACTGGGATCATTGCATTGTCAACCATGACTGTCTCACGTCTTCTTGTTCCTTGTACCCTCAACTACCAAGTGAGTTTTAATGCTGCTCTACCAGCCTTTTTGAGTTCCATCAAAGGCCTTGTGTTTCTTGATTTTTTTTAACTTCCTGCACCCTGGGTTTTTCCTGCACCGAGTCTGACAGTTTGAGAAGTTTTCTTGTTTTAGAACTGAAAAAATATCATCTTCAACAATAGTACAAAAACAAAACATCTGCTTTTAAACTAAACTTAAATTTGAAACAATTAAATTCAGAATGACTGCGAATCATATTCATCAGGATGAATCATAGAATCATCTATTACAACAACAATAATTCTGGCACAGTTATCAAAACACTAATTATATAATCAGTGCATTTCTTTAACATTATTAATATGTTTACTTTTTGCTAAATCTAAAGAACCACAGATAATTTATCTGTGGTCAGAAACAAGTTTTGTTGCTACATTTTCCACATTTAAAATAATGCATTAGAATTCACTACAAGTATTCAATCATCYATTATTTTGTGTGTACTTAATAGAATATCTTTCCCACCCCCTGCTTTCTTTCTCCYTTTTTTTACAGCTGAAATTCAATTCCTCTAAGCCCCCAAAGTTTTGTTCTGTTGCGAAAAGCCCCCCAGGCAGCAGCGAGCCAGGCCTGAACAAGGGCCGTAAATGTCAACTCCAGCATGAACTCTCACACCGGCATCTATCATCCCTCCCACMCTCCGCCCTCCTCTCCGCTGCCCTCACTTCACACAAATCATCACACAGACGCACACTGACAATCACGCAGCTCGAGCATGAAATAACCTTTAAAAAAATGACGGCTGCTCCAGCTTCGTTTTCACACCGGGGCATGCTTCGCGACACCTCTAACAGGAGCGGACAGGGCGCGGGTCGCCGTGCGGCCGTGACATAAATCTACAGTTGAGCACACGGCGCAGTTTGGTGCCAACAGGTATGAGAAGCATTCAGGCCTCCGCTCTGACGACATGTTCCTCTTAAAGTATACACAAGTGAGAAAGGGTCAATTCGCTGTGCTGCAAATACCCAGAAGGAGCCTGTCTAACACATTCCTATCCGTCATGCTGCGCTTTTAATCATTCTGATTGTCAGAAGTGACAATTTACCAGGTTTTCAGTTMAGAGTGTGTTTTTCTACAGCTGTACACAGAGCTGACTCAGCAGCTTCCACAGCTGACTTTCCAGAAATCAATGTTATTGGTAAAAAAAAAAAAAAGAACGAGGGGGGTAGCTCGTGTTAAACATCAAGTGGGGTATAGGAAATCCCATTTACGGTGCAGGCAGATTTAATTTGAAGTGATCACCTAATGAGAAAGATCAACTCTGACTTCAGGCGACTTAAACTCAACAAAGAGTCAAGCTGAAAAGAAAAAAAAGCATGAAACTTTAGAATTAAGCACAAAGTTGAAGCATAATAATTTGAGGTAAAAACAAGGTTTTAACATAATTTGCTGTGAAACAATGAACGAGTTTATAAGTCTTCTGTACTTGTTTTACTGTCGTTTTTTTAATCCATAACTAGATTGACTCTAAATCCTAACAWTGTTTTAATGATTAATACTTTTTTAAAATCTGAGTGATTTTAAAAATTTCCACATGCTGCATCAGCGGTTTCACTGCTGCAGGATGTTTCCACACAGGAGGTCACGTGTTTACACCTCACCTCTCGTGCTGCAGCTCCGAGCTGTAAGACAGGAGTTCCCAAGACCTGCCCATTGTTTGGCCAACAACTGAGTTGGGCCAGGGGATGCATTTCCTTTAAGTCTTGGCTAATAAACCATCTTTGTGGCTCTCAGAGTTAAACACAATGAGAGTCTTTGATGTCTGTGCTCCTCCAGCAACACAGCTCAAAGCAGTCATAAAACACGTGATAAATCAACCTCCACAGAACAGCTTCCTTCTCCGTAAAACAGTTCTGCAAACCTCCTTCAAACAAAGGGGAGTAAACAACAAATACTTTTAATTCGGCTGCAGCTTTGTTGCTGATTTAGCTCATTTTGGCATTTTTAAAGTGTATCCCAATATTAAGTGGAAGAAAAAAAAAACTGAATTCAGAGCAGCTATATCTGCAGATATTACCAGCAAGTGAGTTTAGTTATGTTATTCTTGTCAGCTATAATGTTTATTATTAGTCAGTCTTATCAGTAACTCTCATATAGATATATTGCTAYGCTATCATTTACTGAAGTAAATGTATAACCAACTAAAGGCCTGCAACAGTTAAAGATAACACCTCAAGTAATTTATAGAACCTCTCCTCTTTTTTCCCCTTTTTTGATCTCATTCAATCCCAGAACTTCCTGATTTACAAGTTAGCTGCTGACCAGCTGGTTGACCCGCTCTGGACACAGATGGTCAGATGTCCACTACGCTGGCCTGAGTCKCCTTTCTTCTTTCGAACAAAACAGCTAAAATGAAACTGACCCAAAGGCCAAAAAAAAAAAAAAATCTGTGTTGTGCTCCAAACCCAATTAAGCGGCCACAGAAAAGCCACACACAAAAAAACTTACTCAGAGGTGGAGAGGTCATGGAAGTGGGATGTGGTGCTGTTCTGCCCCACGTCCCAACACATGACAAGACTTAAAGCCAATTAATCACTCACACGTTCGACTGTCCACAGATGCCTCAGAAAGGCTGTGGTTGATAAATGCATCCTAAGCTTCTTTTAACTCTACTKACCATTTAAAGTGCCTGTGACACGCCTATCCTTCAAATACAAAAAGTCAAAGAAAGMATCTTYATACTTAAGAAAATTGGAMGAATACACATGATTTTACCCATTTTGTCACATAACTGGCATATTTTCTTTTGAACTTGGCTCAGCCAAAGTGAAACAGGAAGTGACATCAAAGAGGAACTCATTAATAAAAAGAAACTTGCTGGTCTCTGTTTATTAAAACAATTATTTAAACTTTAACTCTTCGTCTCTCTTTGATAGCAATTAAATATAATCTAAAGAAAYATGAGGTTCTTCTCTACAGTCTGTTTTGTTAGCTTTSGTAACAACGCTCTGTTTACATGCAGACGTTCCCCTTTGACATCACTTCCTGTTTCTTCACATGCAAATATCTCAACAACCGTTCATCTCAGCGACGTGAAATTTGTTTTGCAATATATTTTCAATGTTATCTTTCCAAAAATGCCTTMATGTTTATTACAAAAATTTGATGTCACAGGCACTTTAAAGATGWATAGGACTGTAGTGTAGTTATCTGTAGAACAGATTTAGGTAGCATTTGTCATCGYTTTCACGCACTTTGATGTGCTTTGATATTGGCAATATCAATAAAAAAATTTGTTTAAGCAATATAAATCTGTTTTTCTCAAGGTGCACATGCATAAGAACATTCAAACCACGTTTAGAAAATATTTGAACTTCAGAGAACAGGGAACTCCGCAAAAGAGAAGACTTGCATTTACAGCCCAGATAGAAAGGTTAATTATAAGTGATCGTGTGGGTTTCACTTAAGTCTTAACTCTTCTGTCATATACTGTATAGTCCCTTCGGTTTGTTCAGTTTTTCAGGATCTAGCATTACTAAGTGAAGTTTATGAGTCATAACTTTTACTAATGTTTACGTTTTTATCAATTTGTTTTGTTTAGAGTGATGTCTAACCCCAAAACTGCACACAATATTATAATTATGGGGCCAAAAATACATGTATCTGCATTGAACCGTTCAATRCACACTTGTTTCAAACAATACAGATTTATAAGTTTATTTTATCAACTTGTCTTCTGAAGATGAAGGTGTTGAAGGTTCAGTAGATCTGTGTTCGACTACTCCGCCTAGGCTGTGTTGTTGAGCACAGATCCAATGAAAAACTTGTTTTAGCAACATTTAATTTTAAAACTTTAAGGTTAAACAAATGTTCATAATTAATTTCAATAAATCAAAAGTTATAAAGGGCAAAGAAATTTCTCTTTTTGGAATCAAAAAATATATCGAACAGTGACACTAAAGTATCGAACCGAACCGAATTGTGAATTTTCTGTATCGTTGCACCCCTACTTGTAATGTATCACAAGTGGTTCCCCACAAGATCTTAAAGTTCCTATTCTGAATTAAAAGTTAAAAATGACCCATTTTAACTACAATCGGTCACAAATCCAACAGTGTTGCAACAAAAAGCGGAAAAGATGTGTAAAGATCCCTTTACAACACATATTCTCACCATTTTAACAGACCAGAAACATGCTTTGTAAATACAAAACATCACACGTTGGTGGAAATACTGTTGGTGATCAACATCTGAGGTACCAGAGTGGCACAAAGCAGTCTGAAACAACACTCACCAAGGCCTTCAATGATGTACGTATGAGTGTAGGCATGCAGCTGAAGAGGGGTGCTCTCCGGCTGGCTTTCTTCGTGGTAAAAAAGTCTGTAGCCCAGAACTCTGGCTGAGTTTCTAGGAGTCAGCTGCCAGCGTGCTGAAATCGTGGTGCAGTTYAAAGGATCCAGATACAGCTCAGGAGCCAGGGGAACTGAACAGGGACACGAAAAACAAAAAAACAAAAACATATTTCTGATGTGGATACTGAAATATATTACAGATTATTTACTAAAATAAAACTGTGTAGAGGATAAAAGATTGTACTGTATATCAGAATGAAATATTTTACCATTCTTGCACAATTTTAAGAAATAGAAACTTATAAACAGAAAAAAAACATCTCTTGCCACCTCAGTCTCAAAGCTATACATTCAAACAGCTGTTTATTATTTCCCMCTGAAGTCCAGAGTCAGTTTTTCATGACTCATGACTGAAGCCCTTCTAACAATACTGACAGTACAGAGCAAAGGTCACTGAGCAGCAAAGTCATTAGCCTAACATCATTAGTACCAGCTCCTCTCTATCTYGCTCTGGCTCAGGATTTAAACACTGCAGCGATCACGTTTCTCAACAGATTAGGCTTTCAACATGCCAGCACATTTAGACTCAAACGAACAAACTTGACTCGGGTTTTGTTCTTCTTTGCTGCTGTTTGAAACTCAGAATTGTTTCTCGAAATGTACCTCGAGAACTAGACGCCTTTGGAGTGCGATGAGACGTCCAGGCTGACTGCTCCCCCCACCCTACGCTGGTGGCAGCAGCAATCCGCAGAAGGTATATGGTGTCGGGCTGCAGGTTTTCCAGCAGATGCTTGGTCTTCTCTCCTGGCAACTCTATTTGTGTTACTGCACTCTCTGAACTGGTGCGATAGGACAAACGGTAGCTGGAAACTCGGCCACGGCTTAGTTTCAATGGAAGAGGCTGCCAAGACACCTGGATGTCTGTGGGGCTGCGGCTTGTAAGGCTGAGCTCCGGGGCCCGGAGGGGAACTGGGAAGACCAGAACTGAGTGAGACCTACATCTTTCATCATGCATCACAACTGATTACAATCACAAAATTATCCCTTTTAGTTGTTCGTCATTGTGAGACAAGACCAAATTATTGGTTAGTAATAATGATAAATTAGCTGTTTAAACAGGAAATTGCAAAAGGGACTGATTTAGGAGGAATTTGTTGTGGCAAAACATGAATTTTATTAATTTTTTGTGTTATTATCCAGTGAATAAAACTTTTATTAATTGATAAACTTTTTTCAGCCAATTTTCCAGGATCTGAATCATATAACAATGAAATACAGAATTTCTATGGCCAAATATTTACCAACCTTAAATATCTCAATATAAAATGATTTTTATAACTGATTTTGTTCGAAAGATTAAATTCTTGATTGTTTTTCCGCGTTTAGCCCTCACCGTCCTCTAGTGTGTGCTGAAAGAYGTGATCCGACATGCGACTGGCTCCCATTGGCATGTAGGCCACCACGTAGAAGGTGTAGTTACGAGCCGGCTCCAGATCATCAATAATATAGCGAGTCGTATCGTTTCCAATAACAACTTGATACTCCTCATTGTTCAATCCTGGTCAAAACAAGAAAATTAAATCAGATGAAATAATCATAACAACCTAGCAGATTAAGGTTCATTTACTCATAAAAACATTATCCTTTGGTGGTAGGGATTTGTAGTTAAAAATAAAAACAAACCWGGAAAAACCGACCTGTCATTTAGTCAAAAAYAAAAAACAAAMACTACTTTTACTCCTAAGTTCCRCAGTATAGTTTTCTAAATGAAAACAAGTTACAGAATTCTCTCACAAGATTTGTGCCTAAAGGCAAAGAAATACCTGCTCTTATATCTGCCGTGGTAAACAAGGTACTTCAAAGTAAATAAAAGCCATTCTAAACAGACTGCATGCCTCAGTAAAAGCCTTCATGAAAAGAGACAAAGCTTGTCTTTCTGTCCACTTCACACCATTTTGTTTCCTCACAGAACACACAGTTTCTGAACACTCCATCACACAGGCTAATTAGTTCCCCCCCTTTCTGCAGAGCCTCAATTTAGTGCCAAACCTCTCTGTCAACAACCTCAGGTGCAGAGTGCACTGATACTCTGTCAATGTCAATGAACAGCTATTCTTCCTGACTGGAAACAAGATTGAGTAGAAAAAAATCTATATCAAGAGCTGAAAATCCCCGACAGATGGTTGTTTTTCAAGAATAAAACAGAATCTGTTCAGCTTCTATGTTGATCTCCTTATCCTGAATAACATGCAGCAGGTGTTCCTTTCTTCCAGCTGAATTCTGGATATTTCCTTCACTTAACACAAGTCAGTGGCTTTGCAATTAAGTGCAGCGTTTGAATGAACAGGAAGCATGTTTTCCTGAAATCTTGCACTCTTTGAATGAGAATCTTGTTATCCACAGAAAGAATTTCCCAGGAAAGCTAAAACCCTTAAAAGTTTTTTTTTTCCCTGCTGCTGCCACAAAACAGCCCTTGAGCTTTTTTTGTGAATAGTGTTGTCTTCATACTGTGTTTTATCAGGCAAAGGAAGGGACCTTGCCTCTTGATATTCAACAAGTCGATAGTCTGTAACTTCGTGGAGCGCTCACATTTCTGACTTACAACAAAGCAGTGAAATAACAGAGTTATTCTAAAACGGAAACATTCCTGGACAGGATGCTGAGGAATCAACAATCTACATTTACATTATTTGTGTACTTCTTATTATGAAACTGACAGTGAAGCATTTAAAACATGTGTCAAACTCAAGCCCAGCGGACCAAATGTGGCCAGTAGTTGATTTCCATCCGGACCGCCAACGAGACCGCCCCTCATGCAACAAAATGAATTAATTTTAAAAGTTGTCCGGCCCGAGCTGTTGGCTTCGAGCAACTGTGGCAAACTGAGCAATTTAGTTTAATATCCCTTTATTAATGTCTCAACAATAAGCTGCTTTAAAGGCAGCATTGATCATAAAACTACATCTCCCATTATGCATGTTGATTAGCTACTCACCACAACTTATCAGTGAGTAAAAGTCTTACTTTTCATAGTATTTCTATATTATTTATTTCRTGTTTATTTAGTCGTACACATGGTGCTTTTCAGGATGTGTTAAAACACTGTTTCTATGCAAGAAATTCTATGTAGAGCTGTTATTGTTTGTTAGAGGTGCTCAGCAGTAGCAATGAGACAAGGAACGTGATGTTTCGTGTTTAATCCAAGTTAAATATGAAATAACCATAAAGCTCATGTGGCCTTTGATGAAAACGAGTTTGAAAACCCTAATTTAAAAAAGTATCAAACTGAACCCAAATCAAATCAAACCGTGACCCAAAGAATTAAAATCAAATTGCATTGTGAGGTTGCTAACAATATCCAGCCCTATAGTTGGTTGCACATTTTATTTAGTGAATATCTGATGGCGACAATCATCTCTCTTCTTAAAGTCATGCTGTTTTGAAACAAACAATTGGAAAAACCTAAAAGATTTAGCAATTTAGTAATTTGGAATTCCCATGAGCCCAAAACAAAYGCTCTCACCTTCAGCTTTCATGTAGTGCACAGAGTAAGCGATAACTTTATCTGCGTTATACTGAGGTCGTTCCCAGGCCAGGAGGATGGCGGAGCTCGACACCGTGTCGGCTTGGATATTTCTGGGCGCGCTCGGTCGGTCCTCTGACATCACCACGATGAGCCTCGCCATGGACAGGACCGATCCCAGCTCGTTTTCAGCCTGGCACTGATAAATGGCATCATCTTCAAGGATGATCTGGTTGATGACTAATTTGCTAAGAGACGGACAGATACAGAGTTTACAGCCATGTTTTCTTGATTTTTTTTACCCAGCGTGTTGTCATCTATAATTACTTTAACAAGCTGTGACAGTTAAATAAGGACCAGGAGCAAATTATTGGAAAATCAACTAAAATCCAATTTGCTCAGCTGTAAATTATTCAGTTCCCTTTCTACTGTAGGGAAAATAGTGAATAATTTATTTTAACAGTTTCTGACTTGGTGGCCAACAACTGTTAAATGTGCGTCTTATACAACTAAAAAATGGCATGCAAGAAATTTTACAGGATGCCAGGCATCCTTGTTAATAAATCTAGAAGAAAAATACCTGTGGTACATCTTGATCCGACCATTGGAGTGAACTTTCTCTCCATTCTTGAACCATGTAATCTGAGGCGCTGGAAATCCCTCAGCGTGGCAAACAAAACGGGCGGTGCCGGCACGTGGACGCGTCAAGCTCTCGGGCCACTCCACTAAGGAAGGCGGCGCTTTACAAAAGAAAAGAAACGCAACAAAGTTAGGAATTATAACTGATCAATATCAACTCAGAATCTTTAGTCATACAAAAACAACCAAACGACCCGGTTTACCTAGCACAGTGACGTTGGCTGAAGCCACGGTGTAGTTTCGAGTGCCGGGTGTGGTGGCTCTGCACATGTAGACTCCTCCATGCTGGGGCTTGATGTCTGTGATGATGAGGTTTCCATTCCCCAGCACTTTGGTGTTGTACACATCGATAGACTTGGTGTCTGCTCTGCTCCAAGAGACGAGGGGCCGGGGATTGCCTGTGGCCAGACATTCCAAGATGGCGGTCTGGTGCAGGGACACGGAGACGTTCTGCGGTCCAGCGATGATTCGAGGTCTCTGGGGGAGCTGGGGACCTGGGGCTGCACAGAACGCGGCGAACGGAATTAATGCAGGTGTGACGTAATAACAAATAGCAGTTGAGTAAACACACTGAAAGGATTTTACAAGTGTATAAAGAGAGATRTTTGACACACTTGGGGTGACGGTGAGTGTGGCCTCTGTGCTTCTTCTGCGACTGGCAATGTTGGTGGCGATGCAGCGGTAGTGTCCAGCGTCCCCTCGCTGCACCCCGTGGATCTGAAGAACACCACTGGGCAGGACTGTGATTCTAATTAACAGAGACRTGTTTAAAGTCAAACCATTATCCATGAAAAGAGTTTATTTAATATTTTGCTCCAAATTAATCTTAGGAATAAAAATATTAACCATGACCCCAAACTGGAAGCAAGTATTATACCTTTCAGTGGAGAGGGGCAACGTGACTCGGTTAAACTCCCATGTAATGATAGGAGGAGGATGTGCAGTGATTTTACAGGAAAACCTGGCAACTGAGCCTTCAGTCACCACTATGGATGTCGGCTGGAGTGCAAAAGACGACATACCTGCAGAAAAACAAAATGAGACATAAAGGAAAACTTTCTCTAGACGAGTTCTTCTTTGTTGATAAAAAAATAGAGATTTTTTTTGTCAGAATTAATTTATTACAAACAAGGGTTGGGCAAATCATGTGTGCAATTAATTTTTAGTAAAACTGCCAACAATTAATATTTGTCATGGTGCATGGTGTAATTAGTGCCACGTGATCACGTATTTTTGTGTGCGACACACTAACACTATCAGGTACACGTGAGCCCAATGCAGCTAATGCTAAACCTAAACCCTACACTGACACAAATGGTGTACAAGGAAAACCTGAAAATGTGGAAGAAGGCCACCATCTCAACTACACACAAGTGCAATAGACATTAATTAATCGTCATATTTATTGTTATTGGCTAAATGCCACAAATAATCACGATAAAATTTTATGACAATATTGCCCTACTCTACTACAAACGCATAAGGTTTAGCTGTTTTTCTTTAGCTTACAATAGAACATAATACAATAGTGCAGCAGAATTGAATCTGAATTATAAATACAGTGGGTAAAATAAGTATTGAACACGTCAACATTTTTCTCAGTAAATATATTACTAGAGGTGCTAATGACATGAAATTTTCACCAGATGTCGGTAACAACCCAAGTGATCCATAAATGTCCAGAAATGAAGTTATTTGTCATAATGTGGAATGGCACAGGGAAAACGTATTGAACACATGAAGAAAGGGAGGTGTAAAAAGGCATGGAAAGCCAAGAC